GCTCTAGTCTGGGCCTTCCTGAAGAAGTCCGCCAGTTGTAACTCGAAAGGCACATACTGAAGAGCAATAACATGGTCCTGCACACCAGCGCGCACAAAAAAAGCATCAACACCAATATGCTTGGTGAGCTCATGCTTCACGGGGTCCCACGCAATACTGATAGCACATGTACTGTCTGATAAGAGTGTAGTAGGTGTAGTAACAGAAACACCAAAATCCTCGAGTAACCAGCGTAACCAAGTCACCTCCGCCGTGAGAAGAGCCATAGCTCGCAATTCGGCCTCTGCACTCGAACGAGAAACTGCAGTCTGTTTCTTCGTCTTCCAGGCAATGAGAGAACCACCAAGAAAGACACAGTAAGCAGAAAGTGAACGGCGATCCAAAGGGTCACTAGCCCAGGTAGCATCCGAATAGGCCTTGAGCTGAAACGAGCTAGAACGAGGATAGAATAGACGGTGAGAGATCGTGCCACGAAGACATCGTAGAACACGAAGAAGGTGACTATAGTGAACAGAAGTGGGAGAAGAAACAAACTGACTCAAGATATGGACATGATAGAAGATATCTAGACGAGTGACAGCGAGATAGACAAGACTCCCAACAAGATGACTATAACTAGTCGGATCAGACAAGGGCTCACCATCAGAAGCACTAAGATGAACATTAAGCTCCATAGGAGTCTCAACAGTGCGCTCATCACTAAGAGCCGCACGAGCAAGAAGATCCTGGATATGCTTTTCTTGGGAAATAAAAAAGCCATCAGAGGTGGAGGAAACCTCAATCCCAAGAAAGTAACGAAGAGGACCAAGATCAGACATAAGAAACTGCTCATTGAGACAGGCCTTGACAAAGGCAATGTACTCAAGATCGTCACCGGTGATGATCTTGTCATCAACATATAGAAGAAGAAGAGTGCGACCACGAGCAGAAAGGTGGACAAACAGCGCTGGATCATGAGCACTGGGAGAAAAACCAGCTGCAATCACCACAGAGGCAAAATGCTCAAACCAAGCACGGAGGGCTTGCTTAAGACCATAGAGAGAGCGACGAAGACGGCAAACCATGCCATCAGGAATAGAATACCCAGGTGGTGGTTGCATATAAACCTCCTCACGCAACTCACCATTAAGAAAGGCATTCTTAACATCAAGCTGAGACACAGACCAATGGCGAACAGAGGCCACAGCGAGAAGTGTGCAGACAGTGGTCATATGGGCCACAGGAGCAAAAATCTCATCGTAATCACGACCATGCTCCTGCTGGAAACCACGAGCCACAAGACAAACTTTATAATGCTCAAGAGAACCATCAGAGCGAGTCTTAATCTTATAGACCCACTTACAAGTAATGGGACGAACACGGGGAGGAAGAGAAACCAGATCCCACGTGCCAGTGCGCTCAAGAGCAGCAATCTCCTCTGCCATCGCAAGCTGCCATTCAGGATGAACAATAGCATCACGATAAGAGGTTGGCTCAAGTACAGCCGAAAGACCATATCAGGAAGGAGAATAGCGGTCAGGAGGAGGACAAGGCCGAGCCCGAAGACCGTAAGGGCCAGTTCTTTTGGGCAATTCTCCTAGAATTGACCCCCTCCCCGGCTTCTCCCAGAATTGCCACTCCATCTTTTTTTACAATTCCTAGCTAATTAGACCTTAACTAGCTAGGAATTGTAAAAAAAGATGGAGTGGCAATTCTGGGAGAATTACCCAAAAGAACTGGCCCTAAGTCGGCTGAGATGAGGAAGACGACACACCAGAAGTAGATGGCGCATCAGTGGACGCATCCACAACACATGGACGACGAGTGTAATGGAAAGGAAAAGAGGGACGAGTAAGAATCACCGGAGGTGGAGACGGGGAAGACATCGGAGCTGACGGGGAAGGCGTCGTTGATGAAGGTAGAGACAGGGAAAGTATCGGGGATGAAGGTGGGGACGGGGAAGGTATCGAAGAGTCATGCAACAAGGAAGGAGAAGAAATTGTTGAAGAGGACGACGCTGTATCTGCAACAACTGGTGGAGGGGTAGGGATACGGGGCACATAGGGAGGTGTATCGGGAAATGTGAGAAAAGAGATGTCCTCCATAGAGAAGGTCGAGGAGGATGGACGCGGGTAGAAAGGACGAGACTCATCAAAGGTCACATCCCGGGAAATACGCATTAGACGACCGACAGGATCCCAACACCGATGCTCACAGTTGTATTCTAGAAAGACACACTCGACAAACTGAGCGGTCAGTTTGGTACGTTCACGTGGGGCAAGAAGAACATAGCAAACACAACCAAACAAATGAAGCGTCGAATAATCAGGAGAACGATAAAAAGACGCTTGAAAGGAATACCACCCTGCAAAGCAGCAGATGGCTGCATGCTGATGACATAGGTGGAAGTGGAAATAGCCTCAGCCCAAAAGTGAGGCGGAAGAGAGGCAGCGATCATCATCGCACGAGCCGTCTCAAGAAGGTGACGATGCTTGCGCTCAACCACGCCATTCTGAGCATGAGCACCAGGAGAAGAGAACTGGGTAAGAGTACGCTGTTCAGCAAGAAATCCTCGCAACGGATGAGAGATACACTCACCAGCAGAATCTGGGCGAAAAACACGAATAGGAGTGGAGAACTGGGTATGAACCATGGCAGCAAATTTTTTGTATATAGATAAGACCTCGCTACGAGAAGACATGAAATAGATCCAAGTGTAGCGAGTAAAATCGTCTATAAAGAGAATATAGTAGCGATGACCCCCTTTCGAAGCGAAGGGAGCAAGACCCTAAACATCTGAGTGAACGAGATCAAAAGGACGCTCGGACACCGACTCACTGTGAGGATAGGGTAGCTGAATCTGCTTACCAAGCCTACAACCCAAACAATCCAACGAAGCGTTACCGGAGATAGGCCCCAGAACACCATGATGAACTAAAGATGAACTAAAGACGAGAGACGAGAACCACATAAATGGCCAAGACGATGATGCCATTGCTGAAAAGAGCTAGCAGATGCGGCAACAGGGGCCACAAGACTCGCAGCATTGGCATCAGAGGGAAGACAAAGCCAATCAAGCTCCCAGAGACCATCATGGCGTCGAGGGCCAGCACCAAGCAAAGCGTCTGTGCGACGATCCTGAACAGAACATGAATCGAAGTCAAGATTGACCTTGCAACTAGAGTCAACAATCTGACTACCTGAAAAGAGTTGCATGCTAAGTCAAGGAACATGAGCAACAGACGCCACCATAGGAGACGATGTAGAGCGGCCATCATCACGTGCGGAAGCCATCAAACGAGTCAACGAAGAGCGGCGCCAACTGCGGTCGGAAGCCGCGAGTGGAGTCGACGTGGAGGCACCATCGCGTGAGGAAGCCACGAAAGGAGTCGTGGAAGAGCGACCACCGCATCCCGCCAAAGAGGCCGGAAGGGACAACATCACATGTGGATGAGCACCAAGCACGGAGAGACGGCGCGTGTGCAAGACGGGATCAATATAGGGAACACCGGATGACAATGGCATTTTTTTGTGGGAGTAGGTAATTGGACAAAGCAGATCAGCCACACGAACTGAGCCCGTCAAACAGAGCAGCACGCGCACGCGCATAATGCAAGGCAGAAGTTTGGCGCGGGCGGAGGAGCAGGACAACGGCTGGGATCTGGCGGGCCGAAGCCAGGCGGCACAAATGGCCGGAGGGCGGCACGGACGCAAGAACGACGGAGCGGATGGCCGAATGGCAGAGCGGACGCCCGACCTGGAGTCACGGGCTGATCTGGATCGAGAGCAGGATCCAAATCAACTTACGTCTGGTGGAACTTGATCTGCCATGTGGTGGTGGAACTTGATCTGGATTGATCCAAAACAATCACAGCGGAACTTGATCTGGATTGATCCAAAACAATCACAGCGGCTCGGTACAGCGAAAGGTAGCAAGCGGTACAGGCCGGAGGGAGAATGGCCACTGGAGGGCAGCGGACCAGCGGGAAGGCAGTGGACAGCAGGGAGGCAGCGGACACTAGCCAGGCGGGCAAGGGCGCACAATCGATGGCGCTCGTGGAAGACAGGGCTACCCGGCCTAAGCAGGTGGAGCTGCAGCCAGACAACAACAGCCGCGCAACAGCGAGGCCGGTGGCTTGGCAGAGACAGGCAACCGACAGCGGGCGGCGCGGACGAACGAGGACTGGCGAAAATCCAGACGGAGATTGACGGAGGCCGCGGCGGACCGTAGAGTCGGCAGCCGTGGAGAAAAATATAACCTAGGCTCTTATACAGGGGCGTAGCTATGTAGAGCTAGCCGGTGTCACCGGCACCGGGTTCAATTTGAACTTGCTTAATGTAATCCATTGATTTAGTGTGTAGATCATTGAATTATTTGACATGTAGGCATGCATTCTTCTATGTGGACACCGGGTAATTTCCAATCTGGATCCGCCCCTGCTCTTATACCATGTTAGATAAACAACAACATAGTATTATTGAGAGGCCAAAGCCAACATATATACAAGTACATGTGGGAGGCCAAATGCCAAAATACAGAAAGCCAAAGGGCATCATAAATATAACTCTCAACACCTACAAGTGTTCCGGCTGCGGCGAGATTCGAGTTTTGTTAAAGCCGCATTCAAAAGAATCTTCAAGGAGCAGCTCTGAGTATAAAGGTAGCAACAATGAAGATGGCAACGACTCGAACGCCGGATTGAAGATTACAGAGTTTGTGAAAAGCAAGTATAGGACACCGGACATGTAAGAGTTGATCGGCAGCATGAATAATTTTTTTGTCGTACCTCTACTTTCAATGTGTTCCAGATGTACTCGATGCCGGTTTGAGCACCTAATAAAGTTTTTGTCGTACTCGACGTGCGAGCCCGATGTATTCATACAATTTCACAAGACTTTGAGCATGCACATGTTAATGACCATACACTTATTTATGTCATCGAGTCAATTAAATGTGTTGTTCGTCATGGTATTAGGAGTACTACTCATGCCACTAGTTGTACTGATTACATGTATATCATGTGTAGTTCATCTTTCAAAATTCGGCTGATTCGTAGTGTCTCTGGTGAATAAGTGAACCGTTTTTGTTAGTTCATCTTTCAAAATATTGTTGTTTATTGAAAGTTTGTTAGTTTCTTAGTTCATCTTTCAAAATATTGTTGTTTTTCTTCAATAAACGACATCAAGTACATTGGAATTTGGGAACACACTGAAAGTAGAGGTACCACAAAAAAATTATTCATGCTACCGATCAACTCTTAAATGTTCCGGTGCCCCGTACTTGCTTTTCACAAACTCTCTAATCTTCAATCCGGCGTCCAAGTCGCTGCCATTGCCTTCATCCTCTCTAACTTTATACTCAGAGCTGCTCCTTGAAGATTCTTGTAAGGGCGGCTCGAACAAACATAGAGTCTCGCCGCAGCCAGAACACTTGTAGGAAGCCAAGTCCATGAACCAATTCATTAGTAAGTCGTTTGTTGTTTCGGGCACTTAAAGACACATTAAGCATGGCACAGTCGCCGGCTTCATCTGATCTTTGTCCAATGGATCCGAGGTCACAGGTTTTACCTCCTCCCTGTCCATGGGAATGGAGTCTGTTGGCTTGATCTCTTCGTTGAGAAGGGAGGTGGCCGGCTGCATGGGATGGGAGGTGGCCGGCTCCATGGAATGGGAGTTCGCGTCCTTGCCGGCTGCATGGGATGGGAGGTGGCCGGCTCCATGGAATGGGAGTTCGCGCCCTTGCCGTGTTGATTCTCCATGCAAACAAAGGACGAGAGACGGACGGATATGTTCACACGAACGAAGGAAGAAAAAGATGGAACAAGATTTCTTGTTCCCTAAAACTTAGGCCAGCTTGATATGCACCATGTCTAATCTTTCTTTCCTAACTAACCTACACGTATGCACAAAACAGACGGGATGGGTTGTGCCATCTCCTTTTTTCTAGGAAGGTGATGCGCGTTGGCTGTAGCTAGTGAAAAGGTAATTGTCAACTAATGCAATACACCATATAATCTGAACTTTTTCTCAAAAATCTATACACCTTATATCTAGGAACGGAGGGAGTACGTATTAGCAATACCTATTAGCAATTTTCTTTCCGAGGTTTCAAGTAGAATATGCTTTAATTATATGAGCCCTTTCAAAGAGGTCAGGCTACCAAAAAAAGGACTAAAGTACCTGTTTCTCAGCATCACACTCAGAAATGTCACTCTGCAGTACTTGTTCTGTCAGTCCTAAAGTGGTTACAAGAGCAACAGACCAAATTAGCAAGTCCTAAATTGGTTACATGAGCAAGAGATTAGATTCACATGTCATTTTTAATACTAGAAGGTATTTACCACTGGCACCATGATGGGTTTTACACCAATCATTCATGTTGTCTAAGCATTCCTTGCTCTGTCTTATAACCAAATCAGGACCCTGCAAAAGAAGGTAATAATAGCTATGTTGAGCACTATGTCTCGCGATGTCATACCAACAGAAGTTGTTCATCAACCAATATGATTAACGACAAAGAAATGACAAAGCAACAAATTGCCTCCGTAACCTCAAGATACCCAAACACAAAGTATGACATAAGTACATAGCCAAAGTCAGTGGTGATGATAGACTACCAGCTTGCTTTACAGGGTGAATTTGCCAAACAACATGATCATTTAAGGTTGTAAGGGGATTCTTAGAATAAGAAAAGATTATGCAAAGTAAACATCAGAAGCTGATGGCATATCAGTTCGCTACTTCCCACTAGCGTAAGGCCCCGTTCGGTTCGTAGGTTTTGTACAGGAATTTTGGAGGAACACTATTGACACAGGTTTACTTTCCTTTGTAGCGTTCGGAACGCAGGAATACATACAGTAATCCAGAGGAAACTAGCTCCTTCGATGCTGATTCCAGAGGAATTCTAACATCCGCGTAGAGCTCATTTTCCCGCGGAAGACCGAGGCGAGGCGCTCGGCAGTCGCTGTTAGAATCAGTAGGATTAAAAAAAACAAATGTGTAACGTGATGAGGTGAGAGTGTTGGAGGTAAAGCTGCCTTGTTTAACCCGTATAGCTAATTTTAAAAGGCCTGTAGGCTACTGTTCACGCAATGCTCTCCTATGGTCACCCGAACGCCCATTCTGACAACTTTCCTGTGTTCTTTACCTCCAGCGTTTCACGCCTAGATTCCTTCTCCGTTCCTATGTTTTCTCTCGTTACTGTGTTTCGTATTCCCACACAGGGGCCTAATTTTACAAAATAAACAGTATAATAAGAATTGACCCATCATCTAATAGTGTTTCCTTCTCATTGACTCTTCAAAAACAAATTAACTTGGCACTTACATAGTCCTGATGCGATTGGCAATCTTATTTAACTGTTTTAAACTACTTCAATGATAACGAGCTTGGAACAACTCATTAAGGACCACAGATTAGTGTGCCTTATCCACATACTCAATGAGGAAGCAATGGAAGCAGCTTCAATAACAACGAGGCAGAGTAGTCTATAATAAACTGCTTACTTCCAAACTCAAGGTCAAGAAATATGTACCACGGCAAAGGTGTTACTGAATCGAGAAAACTAGCATATCATAAGTTGTGGAAGCTACTCACTTCCAAAACACGAAGTCAAGAAATATGTACCACAACTTCATAACACTGTACGTAGCATTAGTTTAAAACTCACCTCTATCCGTTTGGTAAGTTTACCATCTGTTATAATACAAGCAATCTCCAGTATGCGGTCTTTTCTGATATCCAAACCTAAACAATCAGAAACCAGCATGTGGCATGTTAGTCAGAGTGTTGACATTGTGTAAAATTGATAATACGAGTTCCGACAGAAGCAACAGAATTTCAGTTTGACATATCTACACATCAGTTAGAGGAGAACAATAGCAAGAAATGAAGGCGCAGTTCACATCAGAAAACAGCAAAAGAAGACTATTATTGACTTACGATACCAAGGAAATCAGTAATGGGTCGTACATTGTTTCGGGCAGAGTAGATATCATGCACTGTAAATGACTTCCGACCAACTGTTCTCATGCATCTTTTTTCATTTTAATGTAGTAAACTATAAGTTGCAAAACTTGAACAAAAGAACATGTTGAACAAATTAGAAACCCGGAAAGGTTTACTTGTTGTGTTTGCATCAGTCTTGGGTTGAATGGCAGATGTTAGTACTTAGTAAACTGGCCTTACTAACTTATTAAACTGGTAACACATAGCCAATGGCGTGCTGATTGTTTTGATTCTGTATATCAGCTGTCTTTTCACCATTTGTTCTAAGTTGCTGGTTAGATCTTTTATCCTTTTACATTTCGTGTGCAGAGGTGCAATGCAATATTGAGTTTACATCACCTACAATATGCTTCCTGTCAGAGTTATTTCCGGCAGATCCCTTGACAGGGTATCCCGGCTGGGCGAGTAGATCGGGTGGGAAATAGAGGTAAAACCCTACTCCTGCTCGTGTTGTATTATTGCTATGGGGTGTACAAAGTACAAGTATGATCGAGGGATTGAGTTCTCTGCTAACAACTAGCCCTGCCCTGGCTTATATAGAATATCAGGGCCCTAGGTTTTACAAGACCTAGTCGGGTACGTCGGTGGAGGGGTCCTCCTGGACTCCGGCTTCCTTGTCTTGTACGTCAAGGCTTCTGAGTCTTCCTTCTATAGGACCCGTGTGCCAGGATGATTGATGGCCCAGGGCGTAAACCAACCTAGAGGACCTCGGGCCGACCTACTTGGGCCAACTTCCGGTGAAGTGGGGCACCCCCGGGCTGTAACACCGTCAGTAACCCCTGAACTGGTCTCCGAGCTTGGTTGCTTCGTGGTCAGGGTCAATCTTGAATGCCATCTTGAAGCTCGTCAAGATCGGAACTGGTTCTCCGACCTAGCCGACCTCCCATGGCCAGCAAGCTCCATGAAGTCGGCCCATCCATTGGGAGGACGGCCGCCTCTGGTCGTGATTTGCTGATGAAGATAGCCAACCTCCATGGAAATGTTTTCACGGCAAGCCAGCTCCCTCGAGTCGATTTCCCACGGAACACTTTGTATAACTTTGACGTACAGCCCAACCAGGGACCAAGCCAGACTTTTGACCAGTTGGTCGAGCCAGACCAAATTGTTTGTCCAACCGGTTGAACCTGACCACCCTAGTCATCCGGACCTTCGGTCAACGAGACATGCGTGGGTGCACGAGGGCCCCACCAAGGTCAGTCCCATCAGTGTGACGGCATGACCAGGCATGAGCCTCGGTTACCGGAGCCATTAATGGAACGCCTCGATTCCCGCACACCATAAACTACGTTAGTGGGGATACGCACAGGATTTCCTGTCGCATGACACGGGTCACACAACACGGCTCCAGTCGTTGCCCATTATGTTTGGGCTTTAAAAGGGAGGAGACGCCGAGGGGAACGACACTTGTCCATTTTCCCCTTGGCTCCATCTTCTTTCTAGCGTTCTTCTGCCTCCTGTGCTCCGCCATTGCAGCTCACGCCAAAACTCTCCTCTTTCTTCTACATCTCCTCCTCCCAATCTCAAACCCATGCCGCCGCAATATGCCGCCCAAATCCAGCAAGGGCGTCGCGGTCAAGAGTATAACCGGCAAAAGGGAAACTGAAGGTGGCGTCGGACACCAAGGCAAATGGATGCCCTCGACGCCCAACTCCCCCCCCCCCCAGCTCCAACATCTCAAGGAGGGGGGATACTTGCCAGAGGCAAGGCTCGCCGGTGGTCATGACCTACCAAGGTGAAGTTGCCGAGACAATCCCCAAGATCCAAGGAGATGAGCGGGTATGCTTTGTACCCTTTCTCCGAGGTCTCATGCACTTCTACGGCCTGCAACTTCATCACTTGACCCCAAATAGCATTACGCGCATCGCCTGCTTCGTGACCCTATGCGAGCGCTTTCTCGACATCGAGCCACTGTTATTTCCAAGACAAATGTAACGGAGACTTGCGAATGTAGCGGAGCAGCCATCACCAAGAAGTCCGGCTTCGAATATCTCGACGGACTCTGGCTGAATCAAACAAGTGGCAAGAAGGTTGGTTCTATATCCCGATGTTAAGTTCAGGGTACCTCCTCAGATCGGCCTTGTTGAAGCCTTTAGCATGGCGCCTAGTGCGTCAAGCACATCCCAGCTGACACGAAGGAAGTAACCTGGCCCCACAAGGCAGTGTGGAGTCTCACCTAGCAGGGATTGAACATGGTCGGGGTGATGATTGTAGCCCTGGAGCATGGCATTCATCCTCTTAAGGCCAGGGCTCATCCAATGTACCGGTACACCAGCGAGGATGACGTAACCCTGAGCATTCGGACCGGCTTCTTTGAGGGGAAGTCGCTTCAGGAGATGATCTCGATGATGTTCAAGGGGAAGACGGCGGACTTCCCGGCGAAGACCGGCCTGGCCAGTTATTCGTTAGAAGCACAGCAGCCTGCTGTGAGTATTCCTTGCTTCCTGGTTAATTAAGCTTTCCTTTCCGATCCGCAGTTGCTCATCCGATATCTTCAATTCTACTCATGATGCCAAGGAAGCCAAACCATCTCGGACAACGAGGACGAAGATGAGCGGGACCAGTTCCTCTCAAGGAAACAGGGCCGTGATGACGAGGCTCCGGCCTCCCATTCTTCACCACAAAAAACATCGACCAAGACCAGCTTAGAGCCACACAAGAGGTGTGAGGATCCTGCCGCCGAGGCGCTTGCTTCTTCCCGTGCGACCTCCAAGGGAGCATCCCAGTTGGCCCGACCTCGAGTTGCTTGACGAGGGCCCAATAATAGGTAAATATCGTACCATTTTGTTCATCCCTTTCCCAAGTTTGGCTTTTCCTCAACTCTCATTATCTGATCCACAAGCCACAACGCGAAATGGGTGTCGATCTGGCCGGCCACCCTTCCGCCAATCTGGCGGCATTCATTGCCAACACCCCCAGGACCGAAGACGGGGCGCTAATGGCGACGCCGGTCTCCATCGTTCCACCATCCGAAAACGTGGTAATGCCTCTGGAAACAAAGACCACAGACCCAAGGCACACCGGCACTGCCAACAAGCCAGCTCTCGCACCCTCTGAAGGGGCCACTTCTGAAGACCTAGCTACCTAAGTAGCAGGTGAAGAGGACAGAAATCCGGCTCTCAATGTTGAAAACAAGGAGCCGGCCTCCGAAGATGCTGCCAAGAATTGCTTCCAGGCACCTACGTTGCAGGAACCCATCGTGTCACCCTCTTCTTCGACCACCCCGTTTCACCGCCCCGCGACCTCTTCAACTAGTCCGGCTACGGATCTCGGGAACAACACAATCATGGTGGGGTGGCGACCTAGTCCCTACCTATCTACCAGTGTTGTCGTTGACAGTCTTCCCTCCAAGATGTCGGTCACGTCCTCGGAGGCCAGGACGGTGCTATGTCGACGCGAAGCCCACACAACCTAGTCAGCATGTACTTGCTTAAGGAACAACAAGCCACCCTACACTTCATGTGAGGGAATTTCTAGATGTCATGGTCGGGCTGGGAGAAAATCGACTTGGATCGTTTGGTGAGCTTGATGTCATCCTTACCTGCGAGTGCCTCCTCAGCCAGGGCCACTATGGCCTGCTCGGCCACATGGGATCGCTGAACATTGTGGGATACTGTGATGACCCAATTGAGAGCCAATATCACTTCAGGTATGCATAGTCCGAAAATGTCGCGTATCGCGGAGAAGTTGGCTTGTCAAGGGGCGCATGGTAGCCACTTTGAACGGGACGACCTCGAAACAAAGTGGTTTGAGGTGGTAGTTGTCGGGGTGCCGAACACCACGTCAAGTGTGACCTGGCCCAGGGGTTGGGCCTCCATGCCAGGAATGATGCCATTGAACCTCGTGTTGGATGGCCTGATGCAGGACTCGTCAATGCCCATCTTCAATGCGTAGATGTACATGAGACTGAGGCTACTACCGCCGTCCATAAGGACCCTGGTGAGGTGGCGGCCCTCGATGATCGGATCCAAAACTAGGGCGGCCTTTCTGGCGTGGCAAACGCTGATCGAATGATCGCTCTGATCGAAGGAGATTGGCTGGTCCGACCACTCTAGCAAATGTGGTACTACAGGCTCTGCAACACATATGTCTCTATGGGAGAGTTTATGCGCCCTCTTGGACTCGTTGCTGCAAAATATCATGTTCACAAGCCGTACCTATGGGGGAAATTGCTTTTGCGCATTTGCGCTCACACCAGCCCCGCTACCGTAGTTGTCTGCACCACCACCTTGGCCATCATTGGGGGGTCATGCCTGTCGTCACCTTTGCTATTACGATTCTTGCTAGCCAGCTTGGCCGCTTTCAAGTGAAACCAACACTCTCGATTGTTGTGGTTGGTTGGGGGAGTTCTGGATCTTTTTGTGCATGGTCTGTCCATGATTTCATCAAAATCTAGACCTTGCTTCCTACGTACGGTGATGCAGGGCCTCGATTTGCTGCATGGACAGCCTATGCATTTCCTACAGAGTGTAATGGAACCCAGCAAACTCTGCCGAGCCAAAAGAAAAGAACAATCAAAGGCGAAGAGTAGAGTACAGCCAAGGGGCTCCCGTCGTCCGTAAAGCACCTTCGGAAGACCGAGCTCCGAAGTGTGCACTGAGAGTTTTATTTTAAGAACACTTGGTCTTACCCCTTCATTTTGAGCCATGTCTAGGTAGAATTGGCAAGATTGAAACGAGGCCTGCCCGGGCACCGCCGGGGAACAACCAGACCTCCGCCCTGGCGACGACATTCGAACTCAACATTGACCTCATCGTCGCCTTTGTGCCTCCGACTCAGTTGCTATTACTGCGCCAAGGTCGGTCATGCTCATCTTGTGCCTCGGAAGTTCTGAGGTCGCTACGCCGCTACTTGGCCGCCATAGATTTCCGCTTGGCAACCCACACTTCCTCCCCGAAAGCATAATTTCATCAGGTTGGCCATGGTCTGAAGTGATTCTTTCCCTATATCACGGGTTAGCTGCTCGTCTCGACAACCGACTTTGAATGTTGTTATGGCCTCAGCGTCGGTGATGTCTGCTACATCATTCTTCGCCTTTAGCCATCGAGCAAGGTACTAGCGAACCAGCTCACCGTCTTCCTTAATAAGGTCATTCGCCTCGCCGGCCTCTGGTAGGTACCTCAGAAGTTGGCGATGAACTCCTCCTGCATGTCGTTCCAGCCATAGATCCACTTGGGCGGCAAAGTATTTAACCAGGGTCGGTACGGTCCTTTTAGCGCGATTGGCAGGTACTTGATGGCATAGAAATAAAATCCCCATTGGTTAGTTGAACCAAAATGATGTAATCAGTCAACCAGAGCTCTGGGTTCTGCTCCTTTATATTTATCAATGAGGTGCAAGTGAAAGTTTTTCGAGAACTTGTAATTGACAATACCATCCGCGAAGCACACGGGTTATAGAGGTTGCAAGCCGATATCACTCCACAATGCGGTGACGACCTCACATCTGTCGTCTATGTCGATGGCACAATCGTACTCGTTGAAGAGTTATCGGCCTGGCCGCCTGGCATTCTCGCTGAGCCACGCCAAGCATTGCCTCTCGGTTTCTCCAGGAGGCTGGCCGATTTGCGCATCAAAGCGAGAGGCCGTCCTCTGATTTACCAGTCGGCGGTTGTTGTGGCCGTGAGTTAGCTGATCCGGTCTATGCGGGAAGATCGCATGATTGTTCGGCCTCGGTGTCAAACTTGCAATATTATTGTGAATATCGCTAGTGGTGTCCTTCGTGCTCTTAGATTTAGTGTAGACGTTTTGCTAAAACCACCGCCGTCTTCAAGAGTTCCACCACCTGCTCAAACCTCTCCCAATCTAGGTCGTTGGCGGGAAGTGTGATGTTTCGGAGCTCTTCGACCGCCGCCTGCGTGTTCTTAGCCAGCGTGCGGAAGGCAAGCAGCTCGGGAGATGCCGAGGCATTGAGGGCGTTGTTCAACGCCTGGCTCTAGAGCGCCAACCCGGCTGCGTCGTCCGTTCTCCTCTAAGCATCTCTGCGGATTATAGCAGGTAGTTTTGCCTACAATACAGACGCTCTTTCTCCTCCTTCTGCTTCTTGAGGGCTGCCTGGAGCTTCTTTCTCCACTCCTCGAGCTTGACGCTGGCGGGGTCGTTCACCGTGATTGGCGTGTTGACCCAGTCAACATCGATCTCATCCTCTTCCTCGGCCTCGATGTCTTTGGCACCGGGGTCCACCATGTAACAGGCATAAGTGGAGGTTGCCTGCCACGGGCGGCAAGGCGGTGCAGACGGGATTGCTTACGGGTAGCTCTTAGCTGAGTCGCCCATCTTCTTGTCGAGGTCCTCAAGCTCCTCGGAGTCGCCGGGTTCCTCGACGACGGTGTGGAGCATGTCGATGTTGGCGACGATGTGGAGGTGGGTGGGTTGAAAATTTGTGTTGGCCGCTCCTAGGTCAGGCACGACGCCAAGCCCTGGAGAGCAAGCTTGTTGCGAGAATCGACGACAGACTCCAGGTTGCCGACATGGACGACCCAGCCTGCAATGGAGGTCTCGACTTGGCCAACGTGGCCTGTTGAGTCGACAACGCAACACACCGCGCCGAAAGCAAAGATCTGCCCCGCTATGAAGATGTTGGCGTCAATCGAATATCCCATCTGGTCTAGTTCGCCCTGCGGGGCCTATATGGGCCACCTCTATCGAAGTTATTTCCGGCAAATCCCTCGATAGGGTATCCCAGCTAGGCGAGTAGATCGGATGGGAAATAGATAAGGGGTTTACCCGGGTTTAGGTCCTCACGATAGAGGTAAAACCATACTCTTGCTCGTGTTGTATTATTGTGATGGGGCATACAAAGTACAAGGATGATCGAGGGATTGAGTTCTTTGCTACTAGCCATGCCTCGGCTTATATGGAATATTGGGGCCCTAGGGTTTACAAGATCCTAGTCGGCTACGTTAGTGAAGGGGTCCTCCTGGACTCCGGCTTCCTTGTCTTGCACATCAAGGCTTCCGAGTCTTCCTTCTATAGGGCCTGTGGGCCGGGATGATGGCCCAGGGTGTAAACCGACCTAGGGGGCCTTGGGCCGGCCTACTTCGGCCGGCTTCCGATGAAGTGAAGCACCCCTGGGCCGTAACACCGTCACTTCCCATAATAAAAGCACTTCTGTTTGTACACATGTGCAGAATAATTGGTCTGAACATTGATTGAAGTTGAGGACTGAATTGCATTAAGCCTATTAAATTAAACATTTCAAAATAATATGGAACATACAAGATACAATATGAAGGAAGACAGGCTCACCGGTCATTTCCAAGTCAATCCACACCAATGGCATCTTGTATTCACTTGACGATGAACCAAGTTTATCCCCATCATAATTTACAATCATTTTGTTATTCGTCATGCCACTATCTGCAAGGAATGTGAATTTTGAAACTCATAAGAAGAAATGAGAATAATTAAAATGTAATAAAATGGAAAAATTATAGAATTTAGTTCTCTTTTAAAGTATAACAAGGCAGAACTTAAGTTATAATGTTACTGCATCGTTCAATTATTTATCATGTAGGGGCAAGATGAAGATGGAGTTACTTGATTCCATCCATGATCCAAGAGAAAAAAATGGGCGTTCCTGATTGTGAAGAGATATGCACTAGTTGTCCATTCTGTCGCTTTGCCTGGCAGGTTTATTTGGATACTGAATGATACAACTTTGTGCACACTACACAAAAAATGATTCCTCCTAAAGATTTTGTGTATTCGGAGCATCACGAACATGATTTAGTGAAGTGGTCAGGTTTTAACACAAAAGAAATACTTGATACACACGCTGCACATGCAAATGGCAAGAACGCTCGGAACTCATGCTCCAACACAGCTAACAGCTTTAATATGTTTTGTTAAATCGATGAGCTGAAATATTCTGTTGAGTTCTTTTTGAAGTACTAAAGGTTAGTGGTGCAGGACCAGACCTGATTTCTATGGGGAAAAAAATCAAAACATTATACTTAACACATTATTGTTACACTACTACATTTTGATCCAGGAGTATGGGCGCATTCAACAATGTACTGACAAACCTCGCGATGAGTAAAGCAAATCTCATACCACGGACTAACAGGAGCACACAATCCCAATTCATCCTGTGAGGAAGCGAAAGAAAAAGTGCGCCCTTACCGAGTTTCCTGGCGGCGGCGGCGGCGGCGGCGGCGGCGGCGGCGGCGGCGGCGGCGGCTTCTGGCTTGCTGGATGTCGGTTGTTCCACTTCCTTTCGATCGTCCTCGCCATCCAGGTCAAGGACAGCAAACATGTTGGCAAGATTAGACATCCTCTCCCAAATCTTCCCCAGATTCAAGATAACCCCGCGTAAAACCTGCGGCGTTCCAGTGCTGATCAACCAAACAGAATTTTTTTGGTGGAATTGGGGAAAGAACATGCCAGGTTCGACAGCCGACAACTAGTATGGATAGAGCGACTAAAGCTTCAAGGATGGTTCGCTTCTTAGCAAACCCCTGACTGGCTTGGGAGGTGGTCTACACGTACCGCGGCGGTTGCTTCGGATCTATGGGCCCCGGCGCTGCCGCCACCGCAGTGGCCGCCGCCGGGGGTGGAGGAAGAATTGATTATAAGACCTAATTTTTTTTCTACACAACGAGATGCAAGCGGCGCACGGAAGGGCAAAAGGACGATGATTCCCGGTATTTGGGCGCAAGTAGACGACTTATATATTTTTATTTTAAACTTTCAGCGTGTTTGGCAATATTTGAGAAGGGGAATGAAAGTTTTGGGTTAAGATTAGACATGGGATAAGCCATTTGATTCTCAATTCTCTGTTTGGTGCGTGATAGGAGTTATGTGCGAGAAATTAAGAAGAAATTGTACTTCCTTGTTTAATTCGTGGGAATTGATATGAGACTAGACAAGAAAAGTTAAGATGAACGGTTAAGGTTGACTAAACAATTCCCTTCCAACTCCCCCCCCCCTCCCTTGTTAATAAAACAGTGGGAGTTGAAGTCTCAAGTCCCATGTCTCTTTCCTTGTAAATTCTCAATCCCTCTAACCAAACAATAGATTTGAAGTCTTATACCCCTTCAATTCTCATTCCCTGGCTTTAATTACCCCAACCAAACACGTTGTTTGGTGCGCTAAAATCTTACTATTGTTTGGTGCAACTAGTAAGTTTTTCTTTATGCAATCATCATGATTTATTTGCCATCTTATTGTTAAAACTTACTTATTTGATATGAATTTGTTCAGCAAGTTTGCGTACACAATCAATATGATTTATTTGATATCTTATTGTTAACCACTTATTTGGTAGAGTAACACTTATTGACTTGCCAAAAAATCTATTATTTTATTTTGGTAAGTTAATACGTCATGTGACAGTAGGGTCGATTTAGGGAAATCAATGAAAGAAAAAAAGAACGAATGAGAAAAAAGAAAGAGAAAAAAAAGGTGGACCAATGAGAGGTGAAATGAGAATCTTACCATTCTTTTTGGGTGAGGGTGAGCTTGTGAGCTTGAGCTCACATGCACCCTATGCTACAGTAAAATCGAATAAAACACTATTTTTTAAAAGAAATTTATTTTGTTTTGCAGATAGATATTGATTTGTGTTTCACATACGTGAAGCTTTCTCAGTAGGGAAACAGTTGATGCTCTAAAAAGACTATTTTTTAAGCAAGGCCTTGGTTATTTCAAAACATTCGGTCCTTGCCTGCTTCTTGTACAGAACTTACAGTGACCCAATTATAAATTGAGCACTAGACCATTCGCAATGTTTCTGTAGTTAAGCATGCAAGTCAACACGAGGCACTGGACTGATTCATAGTCATCACTACTAGCGGTGAAAGCAGCTACAACTTCCTGCGATGCATCTGACGCAGGAGGATCACCTAGGGGCTGATCCAACACATACTCTTTCTTAGCACTCCTAGGAACAAATATCATGTTCCGGATCCAGTCCGCATAGTTTCCACCATTTGCAACCAACTTTTCTTTCTCTAACATTGGAGCTAAGTTGAACATATTGCGAGTAATTGATATACAACCATAAACATAAGATTCATCTATACATTATTCATAATTAATTTGCACCAGTGTTTAAACAAATTTTAATATAAAGTGCACTCCCACTCAAATCAGCATCTCTCATAATTGAAAGTGATTGATTCAAGACCATGATCTTATTCACAGCCATTGATGTGGACATCACTAATGATGTGAACTTCAAACGATAAGCAAACTTTTGCCGATCATATCTTCATATGACTCTTGTTCATCTTTCGATGCTTCGTGCTCCGAGTACGGAACGATTCTGCTAGAACTTCAAGATAACCGAGGGTTATCTGCATGTATGGTTTGACATATACCTGCCTTAAACCTCACAATTCGTTTGTGAAGGAAATATGCCCTAGAGGCAATAATAAAGTTATTATTTATTTCCTTGATTCATGATAAATGTTTATTATTCATGCTAGAATTGTATTAACCGGAAACTTAGTACATGTGTGAATACATAGACAAAACATATTGTCCCTAGTATGCCTCTACTTGACTAGCTCGTTAATCAAAGATGGTTATGTTTCCTAACCATAGACATGTGTTGTCATTTGATGAATGGGATCACATCATTAGGAGAATGATGTGATGGACATGACCCATCCGTTAGCTTAGCACTATGATCGTGTTAGTTTCAACTTATAAAAGTTCCTCAGAACATGAGATTATGCAACTCCCAAATATCGGAAGAACACTTTGTGTGCTACCAAACGTCACAACGTAAATGGGTGATTATAAAGGTGCTCTACAAGTGTCTCCGAAGGTGTTTGTTGGGTTGGCATAGATCGAGATTAGGATTTGTCACTCCATGTTTCGGAGAGGTATCTCTGGGCCCTCTCGGTAATACTCATCACTATAAGCCTCGCAAGCATTGTGACTAATGAGTTAGTAGCGGGATGAAGTATTACGGAACGAGTAAAGAGACTTGTCGGTAACGATATTGAACTAGGTATTGAGATACCGATGATCGAATCTCGGGCAAGTAACATACCGATGACAAAGGGAACAACGTATGTTGTTATGCGGTTTGAGCGATAAAGATCTTCGTAGAATATGTAGAAACCAATATGAGTATCCAGGTTCCGCTATTGATTATTGACCGGTGACATGTCTCGGTCATGTCTACATAGTTCTCGAACCCGTAGGGTCTACACACTTAACGTTCGATGACGAATGGTATTATGAGTTTATGTGTTTTGATGCACCGAAGATAGTTCAGAGTTCCAGATGTGATCACGGACATGACGAGGAGTCTCTAAATGGTCGAGACATAAAGATTAATATATTGGATGACTATATTCGGACACCGGAAGTGTTCCGGAGAAGTTTCGGATATAATCGAAGTGCCGGAAGGGTTATCGGAACCACCGAAGAAGTAATGGGCCTTATTGGGCCTAAGGGAGAGACACAGGGGCGGCCAGGGGCTGCCCCCCCCCATGGGCCTAGTCCGAATTGGACTAGGGGAGGGGCAGCGCCCCCTCCTTCCTTATTCTCCTAGTAGGTCTAGGAAAGGGGGGAGTCCTACTCCTACTAGGAGGAGGATTCCTCCCCCCTTGGCGCGCCCTAGAGGGCCAGCCGGCCTCCCCCTTTCTCCTTTATATACGGGGTCAGGGGGCACCCTAGAACACACAAGTTGACAATTGTTTTAGCCATGTGCGGTGCCCCCTCCATAGTTACACACCTAGTCATATCGTCGTAGTGCTTAGGCGAAGCCCTGTGCCTGTAAATTCATCATCACCGTCACCACACCGTCGTGCTGATGAAACTCTTCCTCAGCCTCAACTGGATCAAGAGTACGAGGGACATCATCGAGCTGAACGTGTGCTGAACGTGGAGGTGTCGTATGTTCGGTGCTTGCATCGGTTGGATCGCGAAGACGTTCGACTACATCAACTGCATTAACTAAACGCTTCCGCTTTCGGTCTACGAGGGTATGTGGACACACTCTCTCCTCTCATTGCTATGCATCACCTAGATAGATCTTGCGTGATCGTAGGAAATTTTTTGAAATTATTGCGTTCCCCAATAGTGGCATAAGAGCCAGGTCTATGCGTAGATGTTATATGCACGGGTAGAACACAAAGAGTTGTGGGCGATAATAGTCATACTGCTTACCAGCATGTCATACTTTGATTCGGCGGTATTGTTGGATGAAGCGGCTCAGACCGACATTATGCGTACGCTTACGCAAGACTGGTTCTACCGACGTGCTTCGCACATAGGTGGCTGGCGAGTGTCTGTTTCTCCAACTTTAGTTGAATCGAGTGTGGCTACGCCCGGTCCTTGTTGAAGGTTAAAGCAGCACACTTGACAAAAAATCGTTGTGGTTTTGATGCGTAGGTAAGAACAGTTCTTGCTAGAAGCCCATAGCAGCCACGTAAAACTTGCAACAACAAAGTAGAGGACGTCTAACTTGTTTTTGCAGGGCTTGCTGTGATGTGATATGGTCAAGCATGATGTGATATAAATTGTTGTATGAGATGATCATGTTTTGTAACAAAGTTATCGGCAACTGGCAGGAGCCATATGGTTGTCTCTTTATTGTATGCAATGCAATCGCCATGTAATTGTTTTTCTTTATCACTAAGCGGCAACGATAGTCGTAGCAACAATAGGTGGCGAGACGAAAATGATGCTACGATGGAGATCAAGGTGTCGAGCCGGTGACGTTGGAGATCATGACGATGCTTCGGTGATGGAGATCATGAGCACAAGATGATGATGGCCATACCATGTCACATATTTTCATTGCATGTGATGTTTATCCTTTATGCATCTTATTCTGCTTAGAACGTCGGTAGCATTATAAGATGATCCCTTACTAAATTTCAAGGAACAAGTGTTCTCCCTGAGTATGCACCGTTGCTACAGTTCGTCGTGCCGAGACACCACATGATGACCGGGTGTCATAAGCTCTACGCTCACATACAACGGGTACAAGCCAGTTTTGCACATGCAGAATACTCAGGTTAAACTTGACGAGCCTAGCATATGCAGATATGGCCTTAAAACACTGAGACCGAAAGGTCGAGCGTGAATCATATAGTAGATACGATCAACATGATGATGTTCACCATTGAAAACTACTCCATCTCACGTGATGATCGGGCATGGTTTAGTTGATTTAGATCACGTGATCACTTAGATGATTAGAGGGATGTCTATCTAAGTGGGAGTTCTTAAGTAATATGATTAATTGAACTTTAATTTATCATGAACTTAGTACCTGATAGTATTTTGCATGTCTATGTTTTTGTAGATCAATGGCCCGTGCTACCGTTCCTTCGAATTTTAATGCGTTCCTAGAGAAAGCTAGGTTGAAAGATGATGGCAACAACTACACGGACTGGGTCCGTAACTTGAGGATTATCC